GGGCTGAGCTTGAGGTCTTAGCAGGCCTGTATTCCTCTCTGGAGGCTCTAGGGGAGAATCTGTTTCCTTGCCCTTTCTTTCTCCTCCTGGCTGCCTGAATTCCTTGGCTCTCTTGGTATCTTTTCTCAATGTCCAAACCCAGCAACAGAAGAGTGAGTTCTTTTTGAACCCTTTGTCCATGCTCAGATCTCTCTCTGATCCAGCCAGAAAGGTTCTCTGCTTTTAAGGACTCCTATGTTTTCACTGGGTCCACCAAGATCATCAGGATCATCATCTCTCCATGACAATGTTGATGACCTTGAGCACGTATGCAAAATCTCCTTGGGTGTGTGTCAGGTGAAGTGGGTTCTGGGGCTAAGCAATGGACGTATTGGGGGGTGGAGGAGACGTTGTTTCGCTAACCATCTTTGGTGCTATTTTAATTTTTAGAACACACACATGCTCTTACATAAACGGAAGAGGCTTATATTATTTTTATCTTCATCATCGTTACCATCGTCTACATTTTTTATTAACTCCCTCAGTCACTAGTTAAGTCTTGGGAAACAGGGGTTTACTTTAGAGCAAGGGTCTGCACAAGAGGACCCACAGGCAAAATCCAGCTTACCACATGGTCTCGTCAATAACATTTCCTCAGAACACGAATGCTCTAATTTATGCACTTGTTGTCCGTGGCTGGGTTTTGTGCTCAACTCCAAAGCTGAGCAGTTGCAAGACAGAGCACTGGGGCCATGGTGCCTAAGAGATGTGCAGTCTGACCCTTATTAGAAAAAATTTGCTCATGTTGGCTTTAGAGCTTTAAATCCTTGCTTCACTATGTCAGATTAAAACCAAAAATTGAGTCAGAGGAGATATTTCGCCTTAGAGCATGGCAGGATTTCCAGGGTCATCATGGCCATCCTGCCTTTCACGGAGAAGATGCTTGAGACCCGAGAGGTGAAGGGGCTCCCAGGGGCTACTCCACAGCCACACGCACTGCCTGCAGAAAGCCACTTGATTGAAGCTCCCTGGGTTTCACCTCTACCTTCTGCTTCCGCGTTTTTTAGCAGGTACTGATTCCCAGGAATGCACTGAAGCTGTCTCAACATTTTTGGGGAAAAATAAAAGCAAATCGAAAATGCAAAGTTTTTACAAGCAGGTGTGTTAGCTATGGCTACATATAACTCCATTGAATGGTCCTGAAGCTAGGGCTTAAGTCCTTGCAGACCAGGAAGGGAGGTTTTTTTTTGTGATTTGTACCTGTGACTATAGGTGGTGGCCATGCACGTGGCAGAGCACAGAGGACCCTGGAGGCACACCTTAGAAGATGCACTTTTCCAGCCTGTAAGCGCTAGCTGCCTGAGGGCCACCATGAGTGGCCAGTTCATCAGCAAGCAGAGTGACGTCACTGAGAAGGACCTCAGTCAAGTAATTTGTCCTTAGTTCCTGCTCTGTCAATATCGGTCTTTTCCGAACTGTGGCACTGGGTCAGCTGAACTGGCTCAGCTATCATTGATAATTTTTTTAAGCAAAGAAAACAATACCCATAATTTCATTTCAGAGACTATAGCTGAAAGCAAATTTGTAGACATTTGCATACATGAACACATATGTTCTCCATGTTCCACTGTGTTGATACCCTCTCATTTAATTTACCCCTTCCTGCTCAACATTTAGGAATATAATATGTGCACTAATATAAATAGGCTGGGATGTGTCCTTGTCATTAAATCGTTGCCCACGTCCACCATGGTGTCCTCGCCTGAGTTGATGGACGTGAGATTTTTCATTTTAGGAAGTTGCACTTCTTCAGGTTTTTGTTATGTCGTCATGACAAAGTGCTCTGCTGAAGGGCACCTGTGCCTGTCTCCTCTGGTTGGCTGAGTGCCTCTTAGAAGCAATGATAATGATGGCTTCCATCAGGTCAGATGGGGTCCTGGGTACTTTTACAAACATGATTTTACTTTCACTTCACAGGGATCTTGAAAAATTGACATAGACTTTAAAGAGGGGGAAACTGAGTGATTTGCCCAAAGTTACTCTATTAGAGAACAGGAAGCTGAGCCTTGAGACTCGCACCACAAGAAGAGTGTCCGGAGGGTCACTTGAAGGCCTCATTGTCCTCAGGCGCTCCTCCCCTCCACATCAGCTGTATTAAAATGTACACACACCCAACATAATTTATTCATAACATATGTAAGAGTTCATTTGCAGTTGCTTGGCTGACAAATAATGTGACATTGTGGACACATTTAAATATTTATTGATTTCAATTTTGTCGGGTGTGCAATTGTTGGCCCGTTTGTCCTCAAATGCATTTATCACTCCGCCCTGCTCTGCTGATACCTGGACCCCACGATTCCAGGTTCCCCTGCCAGCTGCTTCCCCATTGGGTTTGGCCAGTGGGTGGCACAGATGGGTGAGTTAGGGGAGGAGGAAAAGAGAAGCAAGGGTGTTGCCCTCTCACTTGGGTACTGATTCCACTTTCTCTGCAACTGCCTCCCACTGGCGGAGACTATCGGGATAGTCTCAGATGCCAACACATGGGCTGCTCCTGGATCTGGTAACTGATTTCTCACTCAGGCCTGGGCATGGAAGTGGGTTCCTACTGTCAATAATCTCTAAGTTGCTTCTCTCTCCTCTGTTGGTTTCTCAACATGTCCAATGTCTGTGAAACAAACTTGTTGCTTTTTGTTTTACATAGTTTTTTTTTTCTGTTCTATTTTGTCATAGTAGAGCCCATTTTCTCAAACAGTTACATAGCTTTGATAATTTTTAACACTTTGCAGATCCCATACATAGCTTTGGAAAGAATGTTTAATGATAAGTTCTCTGAATGTCCTTCCTGAGGCAAGATGGCAATAAGATGGACTGAGGAACATGGCATCCTTTCCATTTGCTCACCTACTTATCTGATTATCCTTCTACTAACCTATGCATCTACTCCATCTCCTCAACCACCCAATCCTTTCACATTCATCTGTCTGTCTTCCCTACCACTCAATCACTCACTTATTCATCTATCTAGTCTCCATCTATCCACCATCCATTCACTCATCCATCCACCTATCCACCAATTCCTATAGCTATCCTTTCTTCTATTCATTAATCCATACATCCATTCACCCATCCATCTATTCATATACTCACCCATCTTTTCATCTATCCATCCTTCCTTATATTCACTCATTCATCCATTCACCTACCAATCAACCGTCTATCCATCCATTCATCTGTTCATCTTTCCTTCTGTTCCTTCATCCATCCATCCATTCAAACATCCATCCATGTGTTCTTCTGTTCACTCATCCATCCACCCACCCATTCATCCACCCATAATTTTTTTCTGTTTATTAAACCACCCACTTATTTATTTATCTACCCATCCTTCCTTCATTCATCCACCTATCCATTCACCCATCCATTCATCCACTCACCCTTTCATTAATTCTTCCTTTTATTCAATAAGCTAGTATTGCTCATATGCCAAGTACCAAGTTGAAATCTGGGATAACAGAATAAATCATGCACTTTATTACTCTGCAGAGGTTTGCAATCCAGTGGGAAAGATGGCCACAAAAAAGTCAACTACTTTAGAGGGTGGTAAGAGCCCTGTAGAGAGCCTGATACATAATAGGTGTTCAGTAAAAACATGTATTGAATAAATGAGTGAACAAATACTGCCATGGGAATGGTAAAGGAATGTTTTGGGTAGTAAGAGTGGTGACTTCTTATGTGGCTCAGAAGGGAGGGACAACTTCACAGAAGAAGGGGCAATTTGAGCTGGTTGGGCACTCCCAGGAGAGAACCACTTATGAAGGCATGGGGGAATGGTCAGCCCAGGGAAAAGAAAAAATGTGTACAAAAGGAGGAGGTGTAAAAGAGCCACATCATTTCAGTAACTAGAAATCTACAGAGGCCGGGCACGGTGGCTCACGCCTGTAATCCCAGCACTTTGGGAGGCCAAGGAGGGTGGATCATGAGGTCAAGAGATTGAGACCATCCTGGTCAATATGGTGAAACCCCATCTCTACTAAAAATACAAAAAATTAGCTGGGCATGGTGGCTTGTGCCTGTAATCCCAGCTATTCAGGAGGCTGAGGCAGGAGAATTGCCTGAACCCAGGAGGCAGAGGTTGCGATGAGCCGAGATTGCGCCATTGCACTCCAGCCCGGGTAATCAGAGTGAAACTCCATCTCAAAAAAAAAAAAAGGAAATCTACAGAAATACACTATTTCAAATGTGGGGGGCTTTTGTTTTATGTATATATATATATAATAGATTATTTAACTAATCATTTATTTACAGATATTTATGTTGCTCCTAAAATTTCACTATTAAAATCATTAATGAATGCTATTGTATCTATATCTTTGCCTCACTTAGCAATTATCTCCTTAGGATAAATTCCCGAGCATGTGATTACTAGGCTAAAAGCATGCTTCTTATTTTTTAAAAAAGTTAATTTCAGTTGACAAACTGCCTTCCAGAAAGGAATACCAATTTACATTTCCAACAACAGTGCATGAGAATGTCAATTTTCCCACATCCCTGCTATTTTTGATTTTTGTCAAACTTTTAATCCTTTCCAATACGATGGGTGAAAAAAAATGAGTCATTTTGATTTTTATTTAGCACTTTTGATTACTTATGAGGTAGAACATCTTTTTTAGTATGTATTGACTGAATATTTTGTTTTGTAATTCACCTCTTTGTGTTTACTGCTTAATTTTTTACTGAATACTGGTTTTTCTTTCGGCTTATGAAAGTTCATTTAACATTTTATTTTTTGGCAAATTAAGATTACTAAGCTTTTATCTGTAATACGTGTGGCGACTTTCCTTTTTTGCAGTTTGCGGCTTCTAGTTTATGTATCTTGCGGTTCATGACTTAGTTTCATTTTTAGGAAGTGAAATCTATTACATTTTTTCTTTATATAAAGTTTCTGTCTTCCTTAGAAAGCCTTTCTCCAGCACAATCTTAGAAGTTAGTTAGTTAATCCTATTTCCTTATGGTTTTAGTTGGAAGAAGTGAACTCGAGATCCAACTTGATCTTCAAATGGCCAGTGGATTCCACCAACGCCCTTGCTACAACGCTCCTTCGGTGTTTTGAGATGTCACCTTTAGAATCTACTGAATGCCCGCCTGTATGTGGAACTGTGTAAGAACTCTCTTTTCCAAAGCTTCCAAAACGTTGATATGTGTTGGCATACCTTGTTTCTCATAGACCCCTTCTTAGAGCCTGAATCCAGATACAGGAACCTGCATTTTTAACAATCTCTCCAGTTGATTTCCTTCCATTAATCCAGTGGTTCTTAACTGTTGGCTGCTGGTTATAATAATCTAAAGAGCACTTACTTCATCTACAGGCCACACTTCATCTACACCAATGAGATCAGCATCTCTGAGAGAGGCCTGTGAATTTGTATTTTTCTTAAACTCTCGGGTGACTCCAACCTACAATCGAAAGCACTGTGTTAACCTGTGAAATGCACTTCACCCTGTTTAATGACTGCAGCTTTATCTTGTAATTTACTGATTGAAACAGCAAGCTTGTCGTTCTTTTCTTTTTTGTTTCTTCTGCTATTACTGTAGGTTTGGTTAATTTTGTGATTGTCATTACAGCTTCTGATGTTTATTCTTGCAAGCAGACTTTATAATAATCAGTTTCCAAAAAAATTTTCTTTCTTAGAATAGATTGAATGGATACATTGAAGTTTAGCTTCCTGAACCTGCACAGATTTCTGAAAAATCCCTGATCTTCAGCTTCATCATCTATCAATCATCAATGTAAGTACTTGCCAGTACCCCAGATTCAAAAGTGTTGTCCCTGGGCCACCTGAGTTTCAGGGCTCCCCAGAGAGCTTCCAGGAAGAAACCATACCTCACAGAGAGGTTCTCTCTGCCCTTCAGCCCAACTGGCAGCATGACCTTGGGCAGGGCGTGTACCTTAGGGTCCCTCATTTGGCGAGAGAGGGACCTGGAATATAATGTTCCCGGAAATATAATTTATCCCGGAAATAATGTTCACTCAATCACTGAGGTAGCACTGGTTGTTGGCTAAGCCTGGAATGAGGTCTTGGAAGTTTTGAAAGCTTCCAGATCAATCCATAACTGGGAACCCACATTTGCATAATGTGCCTTTTAGTATTCTGTTCTTTGGATGATATCACTGTTGCAGTCACCATAATGGATATGTGCTTGGAGGAAATGTCTCCTTAGGTGTGTGTCAGAGCTCAAACGTGTGTTCCTCTTGCTTCACTGTCTTTGACTGAGTATGTGCAGGTGCAGTCTGGGCTCGGGTGCCCCAGTAGAGCACAAGTCAATTCTAGTGCAGGCCATTTGGGTAGAGGGATGGAGGGCCTTCCCAGGATGGGTCTCCAGCATCTTCCCCAGCTTCTCCAGCTGCCTGCCTTCCCTGCTTGACAGCTCTGGTGCAGAGTACGTGGGCCAAGGACGCACTTCCTCCATGAGGGGCCCTTGAGCCTTCTTCCTTCCAGAGCTTCTGGTGTCCTTAGACAGGTCCTGAGCAGAGCGTTGGCTGGGCTGACAGCTTTTACTTTGCTGTGATAACTCTGAACCCGAAGTTTTCTAAGAAGCAGCCTCCCGATACCTCAGGACTGCCCTTTCACATGGATGACCCATGGGCCACATTCCTCTGGTGATGGCCAGAGGACCCACCCCAGGCTTTGGGGGCACCTAAAAAATGTTTAAGGAAGGAATATGATCTCAGCTGAAACCAGATTGCTGTGGAGGTTAGGATAGTTCAGGGGTAGATGCCAGAGGTGGGAAGAAGTGGGCTGCTGAGGGCAGATGGAGCAAGAGCATTGGTCCCAATGGGACAAGAGCAAGGAAAAACAGTTGGCAGGGACTTGAGGTCACACAGTGAGTGACTCTGTGGAAGACAAACCCAATGGCCCTGGCCCAGCACAAGAACCACGTGTCAAAGGGTCAGAGTAACAAGGACAACTTGAGGACATGGGCCTGTATTCTGGATTTTGACCATCTAATCTGGAACCAAGCCTTACCTCTTGGCTATGCCTTCTCCTGGGGAGGCCCACCTCTGCCTGTGACCCCAAGGCCCTGATGCCTGGGCTGCTCTTCATTTCTCTGATGATCTGCCCTTGCAAGAGTCAGTGTGTGTCCCACTTTCAATCTTTTTTTTTTTTTTTTGACAGAGCCCAGGCTGAAGTACAGTGACACAATCTCGGCTCACTGCAATGTCTGCTTCCCAGGTTCAAGCTATTCTCCTGCCTCAGCCTCCCAAGGAACTGGGATTACAGGTGAGCAACATGGATTTCACCATGTTGGACAGGCTGATCTCAAACTCTTGACCTTAATTAATCCACCCACTTTGGCCTCCCAAAGTGCTGGGATTACAGGCATGAGCCACCACGCCTGGCCCCTCTGTCAATCTCGAGTCTCCACACATATTTTCTGAGGTTACATTCACAGACACTTTCAGGGGCCAGGAAGCTGACGAACTAGAGAGTAAACACCCTATGAGAAAGTCACAGCCAGCCTTCAGGGAGGGCTTGGCATGATGCCCAAAGACCCTAGCAGGTAAGTGGTGCTGAAAGGTGGGACCTTGATCCTGGCTTTTTCCCTCTGTGCGAGAAGAGTTGCTGTTTTACTGCTTCATGGCAGGGATGCGGGACAGACATCCTTGACACTGGGATGAGCCTGGCTGTAGCCCTGACCCTATGTCCCATGGCTGGGGAAACACTTGCTCTGTGGACAACACCTGCTGTGTGGGCAACACCTCTTCCCTCCTTGCATGGTCGAAGGCTGAGACCTGGGAGTATATTAGGAAGTCCATGTGACCATGCATTCATATTGTTTTCCACTACAGCTGCATCTGCACAATCTTAATGTTTTGCCCAGATGCCCATCGATGAGCCTAAGCACCCACAGTTCAGTGCTAAAAGCGTAGGTGCTCCCCAGAGGCACTCCACCTCCAGGAGACCTGCCCTCAGGAGCTACCTTGAGCAGAGACACAGGGAGATCATGCTCTCCTTGCTGCAGGCCATCTGTAGCCCGTGACAGTCAGAAATAAACCTGTGAAGCTCACTCTCCCCCTACAACCCAGAGTAACCTGGGACTGTGCACCCTCCCGGAATTTCCAGTGCACTCAAGTTGAGGCTAGGCTTCAGCTACGACCAGTCCTTGGCCTGACTCTTCTTTTGCCCCAAACTGCACCTCTCACTGGCTTCTCCTGAGAGAACCTCCCTAGTAAGTCATTAGCCCCAGAATTCCATCTTAAACTGTGCTTCTGTGGAACTGGCCTAAGGCAAAGAGAGGAGCTTAAGATTACATTTTTCTCTGACTTCTGTATTTCCTAGCTCAGGACTTGTACTCAAATCTGCTCGAAAACTGAGTCTTCATGTGACTAGCTGACCTGTGACTACTGACCAGTGATGTCATGGAGAGAGAGGGAGTTTTACCTCCTGGCTGAACTTGACCTTGTCTGGGCAGACTATGAATGGACATAACTAAAGGCTGAACGCTCACTGGAGCAGGGCATGGGACATGGGAAACTCACATCCCCTCTGACTCTCATTTTCAAGTGCACACAAGTGGGGAAAACTAAGCCACTGGTTTTCAGACTGAAATGCATGGATGTTTAGTGGTTCTTGAGAACCAGTAAAGGTGAAGGCAATCCAGCTGTGTGCAAGTGTCTGACCCCAGAACTGCCCCGTCTCTGACTTTGGGCTTTGAGGAGATGGGTTAAGGGCAAACCTTGGGGAATCCCACCTGGCACGGAGTAGAGAAAGCATCTGGAGCTTGTTATACAGGAGTTGGCACGAGCTGGGCATCTCTCCAAGCTCAGGAGGTTTCATGGAAATTCCTAGATGAGAGATGTTTACAAGTTGTGTCCCCAGATAAACCACCATGTTTCCCCCCAAGAGGTCTCTCAAGGTCTCCATCGAAGTCAGCATGCTGGGTCATAACAGCGGTAAGCAGAGACGCTTCTGACCTAACTGATGAGACGAACACCGACTGCCTAGCTTGTGTCATTAGGTGACTTTTAATGACAATAAAATGCGTCTTCCTACATTCGCCTTCAGCCTTCTCTACAAAATCATTTTCCTACAGATTCTAAGGACTGGCCAAGGCACTTTTACTATCCACAGTTGATTTAATAACCTTCTTTTTTTGTGTGGTAGCTTGCTGAAGTCAAAGAGGCTCTGACCAACAGGAAATACTTGATCACTCCACTAAGAAAATGTCAGAGAAAGAGGAAATACCCACACAGACACGGGTCATTTTAACAAAAAATGCACCTTTGCCATTTTGTTGACAAAAAGCAGATCACCTTGGCAAAGGACATTCTAGAATCTCTCCAGGAGAATGGACTGCTTTTTTTTTTTCCGTTTTATATATAGATGTGTTTTTTTTTTCTTTTTGGCTATTTCGATTTGCATATTTGAAAACAACTGAAAAAGCAATTAATTCAAATCTAAATAACTTCCATGCTCAGAATTATGTTTATGGTCTTCCAGCAGACAAATTTATGGAGACGTCTGGGGACCAGGCCTCTGACACAGAATAAGCATCAATCTCTCCTGAAGACTGGTCGCGGGTTTATTTCTGAAACTTGTGTGGAATGAGGGAGCAAATCTAGAGTGTTTAAGATCTAATAATAATCACACACTTTAACACATTCAAATCATGATATTTCAGGAGACAGCAACCTTGGCTTTGCTTATAGCTCTAAGCAGGGCTGTTCCCAGAGGAGGACTGTCCTTCTGAGGAAAGAAGGCACGGAGCTGGTTACAATCCCAGGGAGGATGTCTGCACAGAGAGGTATTTTTTCTTTTTTTTCTCAATACAATTTACACAGAAGGGGCTTGCTGCCAGTGTGATAATTGAGAAACACCTGGAGAAAATGTCTCTCTATTAATTGACAATGGCTTTCTCCTCCTCAGTCCTCATCCCTCAGAAAGAAAAAATAAAAGCATAAAAGAAAAAAAAAAGGCAAAAAAAAAAATGGGGGGAAAAAAAGGAGCAACCAAGAGAGTTTGAGACATATAATCTCCAAGGCCAAAAGGAAAGACATATAATTTTCAAGGCCAAAAGGAAATAAGGCAGGAATTTGATGGGTGATTAATGGCCATGCTGGAGCAGTGGGAGTGGTGTTGATGTCAGAGCCTCCAAGAATGATTCCTCTTTGGAAAGAGGAAAAGGCAAGTAGATTCCAAAATAGCCGTTTTTTAAAATCAATTTTCTGAAACCTGCGATATTCTTCCTGGGTAAACTTGAAGCTCCAGAAAAGAGGTGGTCCCTCCTGGAAGAAGCAGTGAATGGGCTTCCCTAGTCTCAAATTCCACTGGACTTACCCACCTACCGGTCCCAAAGGATTGCCTGCATCCCAGAACCTCCCTGGACCCTTTCTTTTCACAGCAGCTCTTAGGAAAGCACATCACCCAGGGAGCTTCATCAGTGACGATCTGAATGTGTTGTGCACAGAGGAGGTTTGACCGGTGGGAAGCTGGTCAAATTCATAACTGAAATTCTATGTGTTTTTTCTGTTATAATTGCAGTAAAAGATGTACTTTTGTAGGCAGTCTGGATCAGTCCTGAGAAAGAGAAATAAATCCTATGGGAATTTCATTTCTCAAAGGAAGGTATGCAGAGTGCCAGATTTGTGAACTCTCTTGGTATATCACTCCAATAGCAGCTTTATGTCATATATATAGTTGGTCGTCAAAAATTATTTGGAAGATGAAAGCAATGAATAAAAGATAATTGATTATTTCCTTAAAAATCTGTTGGTTCCTTATATAATTCTGGTTAAAATCCTAGAGCTGAGATTATTAAACTATATGATCTGGGAAATTCACATCACCTCTGGCTCTAATTTTCAAGTGCACACAAATTGGGAAAACTAAGCCACTGGTTTTCAGACTGAGATGTGTGGAAGTTTAGTGGTTCCTGAGAAGTGCTTCAGCTGAAGAAGGGTTCAAGGGCATAGAACTTCCCCTAGCCTATACTTGCTTATCTTACTTAACTGGAACAATTATTCACCTTTTACTTTTAATCACTGGGTGTAATTTATATACAATGAAATTCACCAATTCCAAGAATATCAGTTTGATACACTTTGACAAATGCACATGGTTTGTAACTACCACCACTATCAAGATGTGGAATATTTCCATGACTCCAAAAATGTCTTCAGGCTCCTTTATAGTCAGTCCTCTTTTCCTACCGTGATCACAAAAACAACAGCCTTCATTCGTTTTTATTTCTTCTGTAATTTTGTATCAACTGAATTATATCATATGAAGAAGTTTTATTGGTCTGACTTATTTCATTCCACATAATACTTCTGAGATTCATCCATATTATGGGGAGTAGTAATTTCTTTTTTATTGATGAGTAATATCCTCTTGTATGACTATCCTACAATTTGTTCACCCATTTGACATTTGAGTTGTTTCCAGTTTGGGGCTATTAGGAATAATGCTACTATGAACATACATGAAACAAGTCTTTGTGTGAAAGTATATTTTCATTTCTCTCAGTAAAATATCTAAAAGAGACTTTTCCAGTATATGGTCATTTTGTGTTTAGCTTTATAAGGAAGTCCCAAACTGTTTTTTCAGAGTGAATGTACCATTTTGTATCGTCAGCATCAGTGTGCGAGGGTTCCAGTAACTCTGCATACTGGTCAACTTTCGGTATTTTCAGGCTTTTAAATTTTAGTCATGCATGTAATGGTATCGCATTGTGGTTTTAAATTGCATTTCTCTAATGACTAATAAAGTTGGGTGTAGTTTTACATCTTTTTTTGCCATTTTGTCCCAAGTCCTTTATAAGATTATGGCTGGAAAAGGACAAGAGAGAAGCCTTGTTGACAATTACTACTTATCTATCAAGCACCAAAAGAAGCAACAGCACTCTACCACTGGAGAACAGGCAAAAGCATGGTGAGAGACTCCTCCTGCAGTGCAGATGAGCAAAGATCATTTAAAATCTGAGGCTGTAGCAGTAATTCTGAGAAGTATATTTAGGCTCATCAGCCTGCACCCAAGCACAAAATAATAACAACCCATTACTAATGGAAGTTAAAGACTCTGCATGGAGAGTAACCATGGCAACAATAAAACCAATTTCTGACTAGATTGACTCAAACCATACTAGCAGCCAAACAAAAAAAGAAAAATGTAAATATTGAGGAATAAATGCTATATATCTCAGCAGTTCTGGTCTACACACGATGCTAGCATTCAGTCAAAAATTACAAGATATGTAAAAGATCAACACACACACACACACACACACACACACACACACACAGTCCCAAAAAAACACAATAGAAAACAAAAATACAACTCCTCGTCAGAGCCATAAAAAACCAGTGTAGAAACCATCAAATAACAATTTACCAATAACAATGATTAACTTGTAAAAGATCCAGTGGGAGAAAATGAACATATCTATAATTATATGGAGAAATTTCCACAGTCAGGGGAAGCCATAAGAAAAAGTCAAATGGGGGCCGGGTGCAGTGGCTCAAGCCTGTAATCCCAGCACTTTGGGAGGCAGAGGCGGGTGGATCACGAGGTCAAGCGATCGAGACCATCCTGGTCAACATGGTGAAACCCCATCTCTACTAAAAATATAAAACTTAGCTGGGCATGGTGGCGTGTGCCTATAATCCCAGCTGCTCAGGAGGCTGAGGTGGGAGAATTGCCTGAACCCAGGAGGCGGAGGTTGCGGTGAGCCAGCGTCGCGCCATTGCACTCCAACCTGGGTAACAAAAGCGAAACTCCGTCTCAAACAAAAAAAAAAAAAAAAAAAGAAAAAGTCAAATGGATATACTAGATGTTTTTTTTTAAATACATGATACCAGAAACAAAGTCCTTTAATGAACATCGGTAGACTCAACACAACTGAAAGAAGAATCAGTGAATTTGAAGATAATTCAATAAAATTAGACAAACCAAAACACAAAAAGAAAGAGAAAAGAGTGAAAAGTAAACCAGAACGAAGCATCCAAAGGCTGTGGGACAATATCAAACTGTTAAATAAACATTTGAATGGAATGTCGTTGGAATGCCACAGAAGACAGAAGGTGCACTAAAAAAAGTGTTTATTGAAATAATGGTCACTTTTTTAAAGATTAGTGGTGAACACCAAATCAAAACCCCAAGAATTTCAGAGAATCAGTATAAATTACAAAAGATAAGGACAAAAATGCCCTTCTACATACATCACTATAAAACTGCAAAAAAAAAAAAAAAAAAAAAAGAGAGAGAGAGAAATGTTGAAGGCAGCAAAGAAAGAAAAGACTCTTTTCAAAGAGAAAGAAAGAGAAGAAGAAAACTATAGCAGCATTCTTTTCAGTAACTATGGACGCTAGAAGACAATGGGAAGGCATTTTTAAAGTACTGGAAACAATACTATTAACTCAAAATTCTATATCCAGCTAAAATATCTTTCAAAAATAAAAGTGAGATAAACACTTTCTAGACAGGAAAGAAAGAAACAAACCTGAGAGAATGCACAGTTAACCAACAGGAGCCAGTACAAAATATGTTAATGTTCTTCAGGCAAAAGAAATGTAGTATCAGATAGAAACTTGGATCTACATATAAATGAAGATTTCTAGAAACAGTAAACATGAAGTAAATATAAAAATGGCATATTTTTTTCTTATTTTCATCACTCTAAAATATAATTATCTATCTAAAGCAAAAATAGTAACAATGTATTATGGAATTTATGTAAAAGGAAAATGCACCACAATAACAGCACAAAGAAGGAAAAAGCAATTATGAAAATATTATCATAAGTGTCTTACATTATACATGAGATGGTATAACATTTTTTGAAGGTGAGAAATTCAAGATGTATATTGAAACCATAGAGTAAAAATTTTAAGAAAATGCATAACTAATATGCAAATAGTGAAGATAAAATGAAATCATAAAATTACTGAATTCAAAAGTAGACATAATGAAGAAAAAAAACAGATGAAACAAAAAGAACAGAGCTAACAAAATGGTACTATTAAATCCAACCTTATCTATAATTGCAATAAATATAATGTACTTAAATACCCCAATTAAAAGGCAGAATAAACTGTCAGATTATATAAAAAGCACTACTACTAAAAACAGATACATGCTGTCTACAAGAGAACTACTTCAAATAGAAAGGCATAGATGATTAAAAATAAAAGAATGGGAAAAGCTTTGCCATGCCCACATTCATCATAAGAAAACTGGTGTGAGTACCTTAATAGCAGATACAGCAGAATTTGAAACAAAGAGTACTTCTGTCAGTGGCAAAGAAAGACACTGCAAAATCATAAAGGAGTGAATTCACCAAGAAGAAGTAATTTTAAATTGATAACAGAGTTTCAAAATAGGAAATAGCCAAAAATAGAGCCACACGTAACATATGTGAAGTCGATTTTTTGGCAAAGGTGCTAAGGTAATTCAATGGAGGAGAGCAACATGATAAGGACACAGAATTAGTTTCGCATAAATGGCACACATCATGAGGCACCCACATTCATAGTGAAAATGGTGACATGAGTTACATCAAGGAAATCACTCCAGGGGCCTTTGGAGGAACAGTCCAGGCCCCGTCCACTTTCCTACTGTTGTCCTCAGTGTTGTCCTAGAAAGATCTGACTTTTGGATTCACTGATAGGGTGTGCTTTTCATATTGCTGTTCTATTTAATTATTTTCCTCCATTTTTCTTTTTTTTTAAATTACTTTCTTAGAGCTTACCTTGCTGTTCTTTTTTTAAAACACTTTGTTGTATATACCTAGCCTTTGTTTAATTTTTGTTTCAGGTTCTAAAAAATTCAGTTATAACTGTTTTTCTGAGTCCTATTTTGGTTATATCCCACATGTTTTGACATTAATAGTATTTATTGCTTTTTCTAACTGTTTTTTGAGATGAAGTCTTATTCTTTTGGAGTACAGTGGCACGATCGCAGCTCACTGCAACCTCTGCCCCCTGGGTTCAAGTGATATTCTTGCCTCAGCCTCCTGAGTAGCTGGGACTACAGGTGTGCGCCACCACGCCTAGCATTCGTTTTTAGCTTCAAAGTCACTGTGGGGTGTGTGAAGCAGGGTTCACCATGTGAGCCCTGGTTTCTCTAGCACATTCGCAAGTCACTGGTTATTCTATCACTTGTATAAGTCTAGGGAGGCAGAAGGCTAACATAGCAAATCAAGCAAAGCAACTTTATTACCTATAGATATCAAGGTGAGCCAGTGCCCCAGGGCTTGCTCCTGGGGCAAATGTAGTCTTATCTCAGTGTCTCACATTACATTGCCCTGGAACTGATGGACCCCAAAAGGCCACTCTGCCTGGATTTTATGCCTAGGCAGAGTTGAGTTTCTGGGCTAACGCACTGAAGGACATCGTGTTCTAGGACGAGCAGGAACAGCCCGGGCTCCGTTCTAGCCAGTTCCTCGTTATCTCAGGATGTTACATTCCCGGCACATTCTATAGTTATTTTTGAGAACTACAAGTGAGAAAGGGGGAAGAGCTGGGTGAGCCAAGGCCATGTGGGGATTCATCCTGCATGCTGCATATGATTTTTGGCTATAGATTCATCTACTCTTGTCACTCTAATCCCATCTGGTTTCTGTCTTCTAGGAATTCCTCACATGTTCTGGTCTGCTGATCCACATTTTCTTGTTTTGCACTGTCCATATGTACTTATTCTCTATTAATTTTGTTTTAAAATATTCTTCTATTATTTTAGGGAAGTTAGAACAGAGTGGTTTTTGTCCTTTAGTCTGTTATTTTAATTTGTCTCTTACACAAAGTCTCACTTACGGAATATTATCAGTAGTTCACTTGCGCCTTTCTCATACCCTGAATCTTTGGGGTTTATTTTTGCACTAGAGTCATTTTTATAAGTTTTTTCATCTTTGTTGCATCTTTTTTAGAAAGGTGTTTTTATGCACCAGAATAAAGAAATACAATAGGCTTTTTGGTTAAAATTATATCTGTGTGTGTGTGTGTGTGTGTGTGTGTATAAATTATATTTTTTGTTTTTACTAATGAAATATGGAAGAATTTCTTCAACATATTTTACAAGAATTCCTTTAAGGTATAACAGTAACTCAGGATCAGATTGGATGTAACTTTCAAGGCAATAAATATTTTTATTTTTCTGGTGGTCACAGGCGAAAGAGGAGACATCGTTCACTGGATGTTGGAGAAGAGATGAAAAAAATAAAGGAGAAGGCAGTTTAGCAACGGGATGGAGACAAAAAAGAATCCTGTACTCACGAAATTCAGGGGATCTTCGTCCTCCTCTCCCCTTCATAAAGGAGCGAGGCCTGTCTGATAGGAACAGGAAGAGTTGGACTCTCACTGGCCAGTATTTTTCTCTCAGGTAGGATTCATGTGTTAAAGAAACTGCCCTTATGTGCTCTCTGTAACCAGCCTCTCTTGAAAAATAGGTCACAATTCTCCATGCAGTAGGCTGGATAAGCACTCGCAGGTTGTCAGCTTGAGGGGAATGTATCAGAATGCTGACTTTGGCTGCAGATGCAAGCTATGTTCTCCCACAGTTTAGTCGATATCTTCCTACCTCGCTGGAGCGTGTCTCAATTGACGCAAAACTTGCAGGCAAGAAAGTTCTGATTAAGTACTCTCTGTAAACCTCAAGTGTGCCCGAAAACATGTAGTGGCCGTTGAACTTGAGCACCATGATTCCCGAAACACACTATGGACTGGGCACAGCAGTCAATAGTTTGGGGCCAGTGGTGTAATTTGTTCTGTTGAAGGAGTGTGTAGATAAGAGACATTAGGCTGGGCGCAGTGGCTCACGCCTATAATCCCAGCACTTTGGGAGGCCGAGGTGGGTGGATCATGAGGTCAAGAGATCGAGACCATCCTGGTCAACAAGGTGAAACCCCGTCTCTACTAAAAATACAAAAAGTAGTTGGGCATGGTGGCACGCACCTGTAGTCCCAGCTACTTGGGAGGCTGAGGCAGGAGAATTGCTTGAACCCAGGAGGCGGAAGTTGTGGTGAGCCAAGATGGCGCCATTGCACTCCAGCCTGGGTAACAAGAGTGAAACCCCGTCTCAAAAAAAAAAAAAAAAAAGAGAGAGAGAGACATTAGTGGTCTGGAGAAATCAGAGAGTGTTCAATGGAGACACAGCAAAGAATGACTGGGCTCAGAGTGGCTGATGCGTCTAGACTCCACTGCCCAAAATAAGAGTAATATGGTTTGGCTGTGTCCCCACCCAAATCTCATCTTGAATTGTAGTTATTATAAACCCCAAGTGTCAGGGGAGGGACCAGATGGAGAAAACTGAATAGTGGTAGTGGTTTCTCTCATCCTACTCCTGTTACAGTGAGTTAGTTCTCACAAGATCTGAAGGTTTTATAAGGGGCTTCCCCCTTCCCTGGGCACTCCTTCTCCTTGCTGCCACCATTTGAAGAAGGACATGTTTGCTCCTCTTCCAGCATGATTGTAAGTTTCCTGAGGCTTCCCCAGCCATGGTGAACTGTGAGTCAGTTAAACCTCTTTCCTTTATAAATTACCCAGGCTCAGGTAATTATTAGCAGCATGAGAATGAATTAAGACAGATAGCCACTAGTTGTACATGGATATTAGAATTCGAATTTAAATTTAAAATATTAAATAAAATAGAAACCTCAGCTGCTCAGTCTCACTGGTCGTATTTCAACACTCCATGGCTGCCAGGCACTGGTGGCAATGCTATATCGGGAAGTGCAGATGTAGAACACCACAGAAAGGTGTATGGACGGTGTTGTTTCTGACGGCCAGGGAAGGACACAAGGGGATGTGCTGGACGTGACCCTGTCACTGTGGTTCCTAAAAGAGCAAAGTCAAAGGGATTTGCTTTCCTCTGCCATGCTCCAGACGGAAACAGAGACACCCAGATACGCTCCCCACACTCGAATGTCTTTAACATCATTTTACATATGCATTCCATTGAATGCCACTGTTACTCCATGTCACCCACTGAATCCAGAACAAACGTCTCACCATTTGTAAAAATTACATGAGAGAAAACCCCAGAATGCCTAAATGGGGCTCCCTGTGAAATCAAGTCTTAGTACATTGAGTTTAGTTCAAATGTATTTTGAAAACAGTGGTTTCGATTGTTGTAAACTACAGAACACATGGACAATCCCTGGAGAAGCAGATGTTAGATCTTCTGATAGCAGTAAAACGTCCCCCCAAAAATCTTATAAACATGAACAAACTTCACTAATAGAGTATCTAGCATTTAGGGAGATAGGAATGCATGGTGGATGTCATCCGGCTTTCTAAAATAGTGGCATGAGTGTCATTAAAAAAAGAAATATTCTTTTAAATGTCTGTTATTTAGTTTTAAAATGAAAAATATTGAATAGTTAAACTTTATTAAGTGTAAAATTGGTTTTTAGAGTGCTTTGGAATAGTAGCTATCAGGAAGCAAAACTTGAGAAGTCACTGAAAGCAGCTGCTCCATAATAAATAATAATAATAAAGAAAAAATTAAGAGGCTAATTTTTAGGACTAGGTTCATGGTGGAGCCCACGGGTTCATGTAAAAGGCTATTGTTAGTTCTGGGCTCATATCTCAGGAAGCTCTATAGCCACAGGCAGACCCAAGCCTGATCCCCAAGGACCTGTGTTCTGTAAGTAGTTCAAGCCAGACTCTGAGAAACTGGAGGCCCACATGCTTGGTGTAGCTGGTCCACCTTCAAGCATTCTCTCTTATCTCTTGTTTTTTGTTTTTTTTTTTTTGTGTGTGTGTGTGTATTGGAATTTATTGATAGAATGTAAAGAAGAAAATGAGAATATGGGATGAGGTACTGGGAATGACAAGCAGTTCAGAAGGCCCAATTTTCTTTCCAAGGTAGGGAAGGTACATTTGGTTCAGTTCTCTAAGTAGTTCAACTTTTTAATTTTTTTTTTTTTTTTGCAAATGTAAGGAACCCAGGAGAGCAAGAACTCACAGAATATAGTAGTCATGTGTTATTGGACTCAGGAGAAAGCAACTGTAAACAAGGGCTTAGAAATGAAAGAGACGGAATCATTTTAGCACAAGTTACTTTGATATCCAACTGTTTCTCTTACACTGAGCCACACGTAGTACCCATCACATTGGAGAAGAGAACCCAGTTTGTGGGCTTCAAGGTCATTACAGCCCCTCCCTCCTTTGCTCACCTGCTATGTATGATTGGTTCAGACTCTGCCATCATCCTGAACACATTCCACTGTGAACTTCCCTCCGTGGCCATGTTTGATCTTCAAGCCCTGAGTCTCTGGAGAACAGGGCTGTGTGTAATGCTTTGCCTTCTCAGCAATCAGCACACCCACATTTTGTAGTAGATTTCATCAGAATAGACAAATGAATGACGTGGCATTAGAGGTACATGATATGGTTTGGCTGTGTCCCCACCCAAATCTCATCTTGAATTGTAGTTCCCATAATCCCCACATGTTGTGGAAGGGACTCAGTGGGGGGTGATTGAATCATAGGAGTGGTTACTCCCATCCTACTCTTCTTGCAATAGTGAGTGAGTACTCACAAGAACTGATGGTTTTATAAGCAACTTTTCCCCCTTTTGCTCAGCACTTCTTCCTGCTGCCATGTGAAGAAGGATTTGTTGGCCTCCCCTCTGCCATAATTGTAAGTTTCCTGAGGCCTCCCCAGCCTTTTGGAACTGGGAGTCAGTTAAACCTCTCTCCTTTATAAATTACCCAATCTCTAGTATGTCTTTATTAGCAGTGTGAAAATGAACTAATACAGGGCATTTCTCCCAGACCAAGAAACCCAGGTAAGAGAGGCATGGTCGCTCAGTCGGCTTGGAGGATTGTCTTATGATGCTGTGCAGGTATTCACCCTCAGTCCTGGAATCTCCTTTTTTTTTTCCTCACAATCCTACTCAAAATCATAACCAACTTGAAGATGTAATCAAGTGATGACTGCGTGGTCATCCAATGCCAAGGGCCCAGAACTGCAGTGTATACTTCAAGGTGTGGCTTCAACCCTGCCTGGGGGGTTTAAACACAAAGCCAATTCTCAGTGACTCTGTCAACCAATAAACTCCGTAAACATGTTTATTAGTCATTGGCCGTGTGCCTAGAGTGCGTTTGCTCCAGGTCTCTCATCCTGCTAGAGGTTAAGTTTCCTTAAATAGAAAGAGCCATAATTTCCAAGGAGAAGCTGGCTGGCTATTTCTTACGGGAGCACAAAAGAAATGGCCTATCGATTTATTATGCATTGACTTTCACGTCTTAAGAAATAGAATAATAATTACCAAATTTCTCTATTCAAGAAAAACAAGTCAGTACTTTATACAGTAAATATGGGCCTGTACCATGACCTACACACATGCGAGTTTTCGGTAAATACAGAAATTGGATATTCGTCGCTGTAACTATTTACTGCAATTGAAAAAAGATAAATAATGGATGGCAATGTCACTTGTTGATTAACATTCTACAGAAAGAAAACATATACCCATTATTCCTTTCATGAATTTGGCCACTGAAGGTTGATACATAATTGTGCTTCACATTTGCTTCTAATTAGCTGTGAACCTGATCCAGGCCATACAAAGTCCAGAACTAAGGTACTTTTCCAGTTCTTTCTGTCTGGCCTTAGGCAGAAGAGGCTGGAGTCCAGGGAGTCACGGTCACTTGAATGGGTGCTGGGTTCATAAGTGCTTGTGCATGCTGGACGATGCTTGATGCAGGGTTCCCTGCTCATCTCTTGCCAGGACAGGTGCAGTTATGGGCTTCTGCTACTTGACACCCTTCACCCACCGGCTTTCAGCCTGTTCATCTGGGCAAAGTATTGATGTTTGCCTCAAGGGTGGAACTGGTATAGGGACCCTGCCAAGATCCCTATCCAAGTGATCCAAGATCTGCTAAGCATCCTCTGGAGGCAGCTTGAAGATAGCTCCCATTTAAGCTCAGAACTTACTACCTTGGCCTAGGGAGCATGCTGTGAGAGGACCAGAGAACAAGGGAGGTGACAGCTCCAGGAGCCACATGACTAGCAGGGAATAGGAGGTGGTGGATGCACATTCAGCCCCTCACCTTTCTGTGAGACCATCTGAGGCGCACTCTTCACAGCGTCTGCCAGGGAAACCCTCGTGCTGCTGGGCCTCAGTTGCTTACTGCAGTCACTTCTTCACTAACAAGAACTTATTGGCTTTTCTTTCTTCTCTGTGTCACTTCTCTCCACCCTCTCTGTGCTTCCTGTGGTCATGCCCCACATACTCCTTGCCCCCAAAGCCTTATCTTGTACTCTGTTTTAGAGGAACCCAAAATCAAGTCACTTGCATCTTGACCAAGACAGGTACGTTACTGAGGGTCTCGTGTTGCCTCTCTGCCTACACTGCTCCACCAGGAAAAGGGTTTCTGTCCTGGGTGTGTCCCCAGGAGGGTAAGCCCTGCTTTTCTGGTCTGTTCCTCTGCCCTGTCCTTAGCCTGTCTCACAGCAGGGCCTGGCTTTTGGGAGGTGGCCAAGCCCTGCCTGACAATGCCTGGCAGGCCCACTTCTGCACACTGGTCTCATGAGTGATGGTGTAGGGATCCCGCCCAGCGTTCATGACCAGGGGACCCCCAGGGCACAGGAAGGACTGGGGTCCATTACTCAGGGCAAGCAGCAAGGTCTCTGGAGACGTTTCTGCTGACTGATAATTAAAACAAAAAAGCAGAGTGAGAAAGACTACCGTGGTTGGTGAAACCCACCCACTCCCGGAACGCTTCTCACAGTTTTTGTAGCATGCCCAGTTAAAGGGGCATTTCTGGAAATTTTTGAAG